TTCTCTCTGCATCCTGGCACCATTTTGTGTGGATGCTGGCCTCTGCCACAGCTCCTGGTGGCAGTCAGGAAGGGACACTCACATCAGACAGCCAAGGATGGCAGAGACATCCTGATGGTCCCTTGCCCCTGACCCATGAAGAGCTGTGCTGTGAAGGGAGATGGGAGCAGTGATTAGGAATGTTAAAGCTCTTGGAGTTTGAAACCTCCCCTTTTTCTCTGCTTCCCAGTGGATAACTTTTCCCAAAGGGAGATAGAAGAGTTCCTCAGTGAAGCAGCATGCATGAAGGACTTCGACCATCCCAATGTCATCAAACTCCTAGGTATGGGCTGTCACTTCCCACCCTCCAGCTGGGATTTGGGCTGGGGAGCTAGACTGAGGAGCGCTCGAGTCCCACACAGATGTCTGCAGGGGGAGTGTGGTGCCTTTGCCCACAGGGCTGTGCAACCTGTCTGTGTTTTCCAGGCGTGTGCATCGAGCTGAGCTCCCAGCAGGTCCCCAAGCCCATGGTGATTCTCCCGTTCATGAAATATGGTGACCTGCACAGCTTCCTGCTTCGCTCGCGGCTGGAGATGGCCCCCCAGGTAATGAGCACAGAGCGCAGAGGGCCCTGTGTCTGCGAGGAGCAAGGTGGGACCATGCCTCTTTTGGGGACAAATCTGCCTTTGTTTTTTGAGAACATAATAAGACTTGGTTCTAGGCCTGCTTCCTGCCTTTGTCAGGTGGCAGCGGTGGGATCCAGCTCCACAAAAGCCTGTGGGATTCTCGCCTTCCCTTCTCCAGGCTGTCTCAGCTCCTCCTTGTACACTATCTCCTCCAGCCCCATCTTGGTGGTCTCCTGTGGGCTTGCTCCAACATGGTTTTTTCCTACTGAGGAGCTCCAAATGGGACAAAGCATCCAGATGTGTCCTCACGAGTGCCAAATTAAGGGGAAGAATAGTTTCTCTTGACCTGCTGGCTGCACTCTTGCTAATGCAGCCTGCCGCTAGGTTGGCATTCGTTGGCGCAAAGACCGACTGCTTATGGTCAACTTGCTCTACACCAGGGTCCTTTTCTGCAGAGCTGTTTTCTAGCCAAAAATGTGTGATCTGAAGGCAGCCAATGGGAAAGACAAGAAGAACACAATGTCTGGTTGCAGGCTGTACTCCAGAGATGTGGAAGGAGGAGGCAGAGGTGGGAAAGGTATCCACTGCTACAGCAAGCCACAGCGAGTGTGGTTTACCGGGCTGGGCTCCTCTGGCCAGTGGCACAGCCTGGCAAACAGCGCTTGGGATTATTGCTAAAACAACTGTTCCCACATCTGCAGCTCCTGCAGGCTTGTGATTCAATAAATCTTACAGTCTAAGGACGTTAGACCAACGGGGATGAGAGAGGCCACAGTGGCTGCTGCTGTGGGCTTCTGGTGCTCTCCAAAGCCAGGGAGACCACTAGGATGTCAGCCGGCAGCCCTGGACAGAGAAGCCTTTCAGATCAAACAAAATGTGCTTCCCAAAGGGCTTACGCTGTCTAACCCGCACCTTCCCTTCCCAGTTTGTGCCCCTGCAGACACTGGTGAAGTTCATGGTTGATATCGCTCTGGGGATGGAGTATCTGAGCAGTCGGCACTTTCTCCACAGGGATTTGGCGGCTCGAAACTGCATGTGAGTTTGTTTTCCTCTGTGTCGTCCTGGATAGGTGAACTCCAGTGGAAGCCCTGTGGTTTTACAGCACAACTTGGCTTCCTTCAGTAAAACCTCCCTTGGTCTTGAGAGAAATGGGAAAAGAGCTCAGCCTCAGGTTTCTGCTTCAGAATTTGGCATGTCAAAATTTTCTGTTTTGTCATTCCTGTTTCCACCTGACAGGTTACGGGATGACATGACGGTGTGCGTGGCAGACTTTGGTTTGTCAAAGAAGATTTACAGTGGCGATTACTACCGTCAGGGCCGAATAGCAAAAATGCCAGTGAAGTGGATTGCCATCGAGTCCCTGGCTGACCGCGTCTATACCACCAAGAGTGATGTGGTAGGTCCACGTGGCTGGGCAGCCAGGCAGCTGGAGGCGAGAGCTGGGGACCAATCCCTGGGTTGAGTCGTCCACCCTTGCCATGTGTGCTTCACTTGTTTGTGTACCCTGGAAGGGCAAAGCCAGAGGAGCTGTCGGTAACAGAACACGCTGACCTTTCGCTGCCTGCCCAGCCTCCTGGAATAGGTTTATTGAGTGGGCTGCTCGCCTCTTCTGTGGTGTTGCTTATTATTTCCAATTTTGGGGAGGGCAGGACTGGAGCAACAACTCTTAGCATTGTGTGAAGGCCCAGTGGACGCTGGGCAGTGACCTTTCCCCATGAAAAGATTCATTCATTCCTCCTGGAAATGTCCTTTCAATGTGCTTTCCCTTTGTCCTCGCAGTGGGCATTTGGCGTTACCATGTGGGAGATAGCGACCCGAGGGATGACCCCCTACCCAGGAGTGCAGAACCATGAGATCTATGAGTACCTCTTCCACGGGCAGCGCCTGAAAAAGCCTGAGGACTGCTTGGATGAGCTGTGAGTATTGGAACCCTGGTTTTGGGTTTGCTCTCTGTCTGCTTGCAGATGACCTGTGCATCGCTTGCCCTTAGCTGAGGTAGGTGGTTTCTGTGGAGTGCTGCTCCGTGTGCTCTGTGGCTTGCAGTTGCTGATGTCCTTTCTTTAAGGACATGACAACTACTTGCGCTGTGGACTTGTGGCATAGCACTAAATTTGGCTGAAAGCCTGCAAAGCTGTTCATCACAGTGAAATTAAAGACCGTTCTGGCGTGCCCATGCTCCCACCTGCTGCAAACCTCCTGTCCAAGTAGAGTAAGACAGGTCTGTGTCAGAGAGGGAGTCACCTTCCGCCTCATCCCCTCCATTTCTCACACAGACCCCAGAAACAACAGTTGTTAAAGACTGGATATTAGAAGAAATGGCAAGGATTTAACCTTTTCTTCCTTGTGGGGTTGCCAGGCAGGGAGTTTACAAGAACGCACGTGCAGGTTGGCTCGCAGAGGAAAGACGGCCAGAGTGGTGTGGGTAAAATTTTAAATGAAAATATCACAGAAACAAAACCTACAAATCCCTTCATATTTGCATAATCTCCCGAGTTTTGACGTGTCTCATGAAAGCCAGATCCCAGAGCAGAGCAGCGTATCACCTAGGGAGGAAGAAGCATCTTCTTAACTCCAGGCGAACAGGCGCACAGAACTCCCAACGAATGTCCCGGGAGAAAGCAAAGTGTTTGCCGGGCTGGCACAGAGGGCTGACAGGCTGGGCTGTTGGCAGCTGGTGACGTGGGAAGTGCTGAGGTCGCCTCTCTGGTCCTGCGGGGACAGGAGCAGTGCCCTCTGCAGTTTGTGGTGGAGAAATCAGACTTCTTCGTAATTTTATTTTTTAATTTTTATTAAGACAGTTTTGGCCAGCAGGTCTTGGCTGGTAATGCTCTTCTCTGCCCCACAAAACTCCCTTTAGTTACTCAGGGCCCTTCAGTGCCTAAAATCTATGAATCTGGAAAGGGAAAATGTGGAAACCTCAAAACTTCGCATTTCTGAGCAGCTCAGCAAGGGGTTTTCTCCCAAGTTTACTTCCTGAGTTTTTCTCCAGTGCCATTAGAGCTGAAAATACATGCCATGGCTAAGAGCTGCAAATACAAAAACAGTTAAACTAGCAAAGCTGCTCAGTGTCACACAAAGGTTCCTACAAGGCCCCTCTCCAACTCTTGTCCCTGAAGTAAGCGGCAAAGAAACCTTTTCTGGGGTCCAGCCTGCCAGAGGGCAGCAGAGGCAGCGTGTGCCCAGCAGTGACCTGCTTGCAGGGAGGTGCTGGGAGTTTCCAGCATGCCCTGACACCAGCCTAGGAACAGGCACCTACGGTAAGGACAGGAGAAGGACTCAGTGTCCCGGGAGCAGAACTGAGATGTTCCCAGGGAGCAGATCACAGGGCTGCAGCTGGCTGCCTCTGCCTGACCCCCAGCGAGTGCCAGGCACTGCAAGAGACTTCCAACAGCAGCTTGGGCTTATCAGTCCCTGCAGTTTGGGCAAACAGCCTAAGTGGGGAGGAGTTGTTTTTGCTTTGTTTTAATGCAGAGCAGCTCAGGGCTTGCCCAGTTTGCAGAGAAGCAGGGGATTAGCCCCAGTACATCCCCTAATCCTACACCTGGGAACATCCTCTGCAATAACCACACTTCTCTCCCGATTTCCAGGTACGAAATAATGTTTGCATGCTGGAGAGCTGACCCTGCCACCCGTCCGACGTTCTCACAGCTGAAGGTCCATCTGGAGAAGCTGCTAGAAAACCTCCCGGCCATCAGGGGATCCAGAGACATCATCTACATCAACACCAGCTTGCCTGAGGACAGCCCAGACTCTACCCAGGATTCAGGCTTCCCCCAAGCAGACTCTGATTTGGACCCTGGGGACATTGCTGAGCGCTGCTCCCCCCAAGCGGAGGTGGCGATGGTGGCTGTGGATGTCCACCACAATGAACAATGTGAGACGAGGTACGTCCTGGAGGAGCAGCTCAGCAGCCCTGTGGAGGAGGAGGCCTACATCCCGCTGCTGCCTGACGGGGTGGCTGCCGGCAAGGGTTCGACGTGGACCGAGGCCAGCACTTTGCCCGCCGGCAGCTCGCTCGCACTGGAACTGCCACAGGATAGCTGTGTGGAGGACTCGGAAGTGCTGCTGTGAAAGGGGGAACCTGCGCAGAGCGGCGTGTAAATGGGCTCTGAGAAAAGGACAGAGAGGGTATATTTTAATAAAGCATCAGCTGTTTTATTTCTTCCTGCGTGATTTTCATGGTGGAGTCTAGCCCTTCCCGAGATTTCTTTCCTGGGCTGAAGTCACGGGGATTTGTAATTAAATGCTGTAACTATTTTTTTCTGTATTTTGGTATTTGAGCTCCCCGTGGCTCACAGATAAGGGGCAGCCCCTGACCACCCCACCCCCCCGCCACGGGTAACAAAGTGTGGCCAGGGTGGACGGTGCCGAGGTGTGGGGGCTCACGGTGGGCACAGGCGAGCTACCCTGTGCCACCCTATGTGGGGTTGGCTTCCCACCATCCAGACGAGGGTGCAACCAGCCTCACGTCGCCTTTTTTTCCTCTTTTTCACCATTTGTTGTGGCTTTTGGGATGGGCAGGAGTCTGTAAGAGGGATCCCAGAGGGATGAAGCCACCCTGTGATGCTTTGGCCTTTCTCAGCTGTGCCTTCTCCGTTTTGGGGGGCGCGGGGGAGGGGGAGCGGAGGGCGGCGGCATTTCTGCTCTTTCCATAGCAGGGGCTGCCCTACAGCAACCGGCCGCCGGATGG